TGAGGTTGGAGGCCATCGCTACTAGGGTGGAGGCCATCGCTACTAGGTTCCTTAAAGTGTTAACGTTTTTTTTCCAAAAGTGGCAGAGGGGGAGGTCATTGCTCTGAGGTTGGAGGCCATCGCTACTAGGGTGGAGGCCATCGCTACTAGGGTGAAGGCCATCAGTACTAGGTTTCTTAAAGTACTTTTCTTAAGGTTTGTTTTCAATAGTGGCAGAGGGGGAGGCCATCGCTCTGAGGTTGGAGGCCATCGCTACTAGGGTGGAGGCCATCGCTACTAGGTTCCGTAAATTAAAGTATGTTTCTTAAGGTTCTTTTTTCCAAAAGTGGCAGAGGGGGAGGCCATCGCTCTTAGGTTGGAGGCCATCGCTACTAGGGTGAAGGCCATCAGTACTAGGTTCCTTAAAGTATTTTTCTTAACGTTTGTTTTCAATAGTGGCAGAGGGGGAGGCCATCGCTCTGAGGTTGGAGGCCATCGCTACTAGGGTGGAGGCCATCGCTACTAGGTTCCTTAAATTAAAGTATGTTTCTTAAGGTTGTTTTCCAAAAGTGGCAGAGGGGGAGGCCATCGCTCTTAGGTTGGAGGCCATCGCTACTAGGGTGAAGGCCATCAGTACTATGTTCCTTAAAGTACTTTTCTTAAGGTTTGTTTTAAATAGTGGCAGAGGGGGAGGCCATCGATCTGAGGTTGGAGGCCATCGCTACTAGGGTGGAGGCCATCGCTACTAGGTTCCTTAAAGTATTTTTCTTAACGTTTGTTTTCAATAGTCGCAGAGGGGGAGGCCATCGCTCTGAGGTTGGAGGCCATCGCTACTAGGGTGGAGGCCATCGCTACTAGGTTCCTTAAAGTTTTAACGTCTTTTTCCAAAAGTGGCAGAGGGGGAGGCCATTGCTCTTAGGTTGGAGGCCATCGCTACTAGGGTGGAGGCCATCGCTACTAGGTTCCTCAAAGTTTTAACGTTTTTTTCCAACAGTGGCAGAGGGGGAGGCCATCGCTCTTAGGTTGGAGGCCATCGCAACTAGGGTGGAGGCCATCGCTACTAGGTTCCTTAAAGTTTTAACGTTTTGTGGCAGAGGGGGAGGCCATCGCTCTTAGGTTGGAGGCCATGGTTCCTTAAAGTATGTTTATTTAAGTTTGTTTCCAAAAGTGGTACAACAGGATGTGTACTGCCAGGCAGATCGGCTACAAAGCTGGGAGGAGCGATGGGCGGTGAATCGGATGCCTGTCGACAGTCGTTTTGTGCTAGAGCGTTTGGACTTCAGGATGTGAGCCACTGTCAAAATCATACGTAGCGTTAAGGTTTTATAATGTTATATATATATAATTGATCGTTTTGGAAAACGAAGCCGGAAAACCAAAGAGAACGCCTCTTCACTGTACTCTAAGAAGTTCCTTTGCTGTGCTGGTAGTATCTTTTTAAATGAAGTTCCTTTGCCATTGCTGTACTTCACATTGTAAAGGTCTGGTGGTAATATAACTCACCTGGTGAACAAGCAGACAATAGTATTAGTAGCCTAACTGGTGCAATTCCTCAAAAATGAAGCCGGAGAACCCAAAACGAAGCCTCAGTAGAAACGATCATTTTGCCGATCGCTCATGTGTCCAAAAAATACTGTATGTGTGTGTGTGTGTCTCTCCTGTTGTTGTGGGGAGGAGTGGGCGCAAAGAAAACCGGCGAAAATAGAGGAAGAAGGCAAGCTGCCGTAGCTTGCTATAAGTAGCCTAAAGAACTACCAGCTTCTTGGTGACCTACCCTGCCAAAAAATGAATGTGTTCTTGTTTCTTTCCACAATAATTAGCAATAGCTTGGGGTTGTACACTCTTTAGGCAGCTGGGCCACCGGTCACATTTAGGTGGTGTCTCGGTCACATTTAGAACACCCAATGACCATGGACACCATTCGGGTCTTTGCTACTCACCCATTGGAGAATGGAAAATGCATCCAAGGACAAGTTGGCACTTGGATGATGCTGCTTGCTTGAAAAAGAGTACTGTTGGCTGCCGTAGAAGCTCAACTCAGAGAGTAGGGAAGAAAGAGGTGCAGAGCACGGCAGAGCACAGTATTCTTGGAGCTTCGCTCTGTCAAGGTGAATCCTCATTTAAAGCATCACTTGGCACAGCTCATAGACCCGAAAGCATCAGTCGCCGGTGGTATGGGCCCTCGTGTCCTGGTACCATTGTGTGGGAAGAGCGTGGAGCCTTGGCAAGCACCTTAGTAATGCCTCTTTTGGCAGCAGCATGCGCTTCTGTTCGTGTCATGTCGAATTTTTTCGCCAGAGGGGCGGGCAAGCCGCTAAGAAGCTAGTAGCCTAAGAACATATTATCATATTATATACCAGGAGCTGGACGCAGAAGGGTTTGGGCTCTTGGACTGCCAGGCTCGCACAAGTGAACATTAAATTGATACTTAGAGGTTTTTGGTATATTTCCTCCCTTCCTGCCTTCCTTCCTTCCTTCCTTCCTCCCTTCTTGCCTTCCATCCTTCCTTCCGGAGGGTGAGTTGCTTTGCTTTACATTATGACTATGACATCCCCAGCACTGAGGACATGGTATTTCTGTCACGTCAAGGATATCGTGTTATGGGCGTGGAGGGCGTACGGAAAGCTGTGGAAGAGTTCGCCCAGGATAGCTAGAGCTATAGCTAGGCATCTCATGTTTGCGAAGAAAGAGAGAACTGAGCAAAAATTACAATCCATAAACGTAAAAACAATTGCGTTTCCCTTTTTCGACAATACCAGCACTGTCGACAGTTGCCGAGTACGTAATCTCTTTGATGTGGTCAGCCACAGATGCAACATGATGAAACACCCTTTCAAAGGTGAAGGAATATTGCCCGTCGCCAGGCATTAGATATATTATATCCCTTTCATTCATCTCAGCAATGGGCTCTTTTGACCTGAAGAGGTGTTTTTCCCTTTCTTGCATTTTTCTTTTTCAACGTAGACCTACTTTTCTCTTTTCCCGTGGAAGTCAACTGTTTTTGCACCTGCCCGTCTGACCAGGAGTTTGGCTTGCAGGTTCCTACCGCGAAAGGCTTTAACCTCAGCCAGCAGTTGAATGGGCTCGGGTCAAAAGAATATCACATGACCATCAAGTTAGAAGGTTTAAGATCGCGATGATTGCCCGCCGGAAGGTATTCAATTCACTCTTGTAATGTGAGTAGTGACACACATTGTCATACCATCAACTTCTGTTCAGTTGTGTTCTGTTCCTTCGAAAACGACTGACGTGTGAGTCCAAATGCAAGTACCAGGAGCCCCTAGTAGCGTCCTTGCTCCTAGTAGTAAGGCCAGGAGCCCCTAGTAGCATCTAGTAGCGTCCTAAGGCTTGCAAGGACTTTGCATGACTTCGCTTCTTTCCGCCTAGTAAGGTCCGACGATGCATGTCAACTTCCCACCAGAGGTGGATACGAAACGCTTCCGTGGCCATGCGGTGCTGATCAGTGCTGAGCAGACGAGGTGTTGTTGGGACCAATGCCTTGTAGATCTCGCACGGGTCGTGTGTTTCTTTGGTTTCTCAAGCTTGGGTACTTGGCACCACCAGTACATGACCTACATGATCTGAACCACTTGACCTTCATTGTTAGTCTTTTGGATAGCCACCATCTCCATCGGTCTCCATGATGTCGATTTGCAGGCGCGAACCGCCTCCCCCGGTGATTTTCTTGGAGGGTGATTTTCTTGAGCTCAACGCGGAAATGGCAAAGGCCTTGGTTCCATTTGAGGCGAGGGCAACACTCAGATGATGATGATTATTATTATTGTTATTATGATATATTATGATTATGATTTTGGGCTCAACAGTATGTAAACAACAATAAGACTAATGTCGTGGCTCTTTTTGGGTCTTGGCGTGATCCTCCTATCAAAGGGGTGTCATGGCAATTTTTTTTGCAGATGTGCCAAACACGGGAAGGAAATGTGCAGCGGGGGTTAACATTTTTTGACGCAGTCCGTTCCTTGCAGGCAGCCTTCGATCGAGGCAGCCTTGTTGCTGTAGAGCCAGATGACCGGAAACCCTATGCCACAGCGTGGCAGGGCTCAATTCTGTTTCAAGCGGCATCAATGGGGCATCATGCTTGTTTGGAAGCGTGGCTGTTTGCACTGTATGCCGTCCTGTACTAGAAGGTCTAGAAGTTGCATCAATCACGATGGGCCACTTGAAGAACCATGGAGGTTGCAGAGCCAGACTTACTTGAATTCCCTGTAAAATTGGCCGAAGAAGGTCATCTCACATCCTTTCAATGGATCTTTTTTGTGGCCAGCGTCTTTTCTACTGTGGCTTGTTTGAACTGACATTGTTTCATCATGTTCCACTCACACTCCAGGTTGACGCATTTGATGGCCCCGGGTGGACGTGTCCTTCTGGTCACAGTGGAGCATGACGGTTTCGGAGAACGAAAAGGGCCACCCTATCAGGCTCCGGGATAGAGATTAGGGGGCATGGTCACGCGATTTAGTGTTTGATGGGATGTTGTTTTAAGTTGCTACCCTTCTAGGTGCTTGAGGCTGATGTGTACGGACCTTAGTTGAGGAGAAGTGTCCAAATGTTGGGTTTATCGCACCAAGCATTCATTTACAATATATAACTTACAGTACTTACATGTACTTACATATCATGAGATAACATTAACATGTATCACAGTTGTGAGCCTGTGCTCCAGCGAGGCGCAGTTTGTTCGGCAACAATTTTCATGTGGAAAGACTGCGAAGTGTCAATGCGCTCGACAAGACGATGCAAGCACGTGGTGCCACGCGCCACTCATCCAAGTTGTGCCTTTCAATGCTGTTAGAGAGCTCATAGCAATATATAGTGAAAGCTACCACCGTCAATCTATCAATCTTGGATTTTACCTGCCATCCTTGTCCTCAATGTTTGGTTGCAAAAACATATCTTGAGGCTTTGAAGAATCCGTCTACCTGCTCACCAAGCGATAAGTTGCTGATAAAATTATTGAGCGTGTGGTCCTTCTCTTGATTGCTTTTGTTTTTTCATGGTTTTGCACTCAGACACCACTACTGCCACTACTGAGCTTAAGGTGCTAAGATGTTGATGGTGCTTTCGCATCACCTTGGTTGAATTGTAGTGTTGTACACAACACAGGTGGAAGAAGTTGCATTGCGTTGATTGCTTGTCCTGGTCACTGAGTCACAGTGTGGGGAGCTGCTGCCTTGTCGTGCTGGTATCGCCTGGGGTGGCGGGGCATTCAGAGTGAATCACATTGAGACAGAAATGGCTTCGACGTTCTTCACAGACAGAGTTGAAAGGGTGTTGCTTACTTGTTCCAGTCCAATTGATTTTGCCTATCATTCCTGCATATTCCTGCTTTTCTCTTTGCCGAACGGATTTGTGGCAACGCGGCAACCATGACCTCGCACAAGTTTGCTTTATTAGGTTTTTTTGCTACTTCCAAGGCAAGCCTTTCAAGCTAAGCTTTTGCATACAGAGCGCTTCTTTGGAGGGTACGCCACCTAGATACAAGAAGTCTCAGAACTTCAGAAACTGCATGAAACAAAAGGTGCATGCATATATTGGATGTTGAACAGTTGTTCATAGAATCAGTTATTCACAAGATTTGAGTTGAACTTTCTGCATTTGGTGAAGCCCACGAAGCACAAAACAAGTAATTATCACATGTTGTGAAAGTGTTGAGGCTCTGAATTTACTGCCTCCAGCAAGCCTTATGTTGCTGCACTCGTCTCAGTGATTTGCGTCAGCTCAATTGTGCACGGAACAGCTCCGAAATAGCTTTGACCTTTGCAGTTCTTCTTTCCCGAGACATTGGTGTAGGGGCTTTGCATGTGCGCGTTGCAACATGTGTCTCAACAACAAGGGAGTCTCGGGTTGTAGGGCGCCCCTTTGCCCCTGAGGCCCATGTCCATGTCTTTCGTTGGATTGCATCGGATTCCTTTTGCTTTCTATCGCAGTGGAACTTCTCGTGGTCTGTTTTTGTTGGAGAAAGACTTGCCACCTCTTGGCTCCACGCGAGATGCAATTTTGTGCCAACTCATGGGCAGTGGGCACCCCCAGCAGTTGGGTGGCTTCGGGGGAGGCACGGGTCCCACCAGCAAGGTTGCAGTTGTGGGCCCACACGAAGAACCTGGCTCTGTAACATACAACTTTGCCCAGTGTGAGGTGGAGATTGCCAATGTGGACAAATCTCATGGAGACTGTGGGAACATGCTAGCTGCTGTTGCACCCTTTGCACTGGAACGCGGTGTGGCAATGGGTACAGAATTTGAGACAAGCACAAAGTTAAAGATTCACAGCTTGAACACTGGTGCCTGTTATGAAGCCAATGTGCCTACCACAATCAGCTCTGGCAAGCGATGTGTACAATACTTGGGCAATCTTGAAGTACCGGGCGCTCCTGGATGTGCAGCTCCCATCAGTTTGGCCTCGCTTGGAGTAGCAGGTACACAGACAGGAAAACTTTTGCCAACAGACTGTCCTGTTGATACCTTGGATTTCGGACTTGGCAAAGCCAAAGCAACACTTTTGGACTTTGCACGCGCACTTGTTATTGTGGATGCAGCTGATATTCTTCCAAAATTAGGTTATTCAGACTTGGGCGAGATTTCGCTTGAGACAGTCCATGCGGACGCCTCGCTTTGTGATGCCCTGGAGGCTATGAGACGACAAGCAAGCCTGATGATGGGCATGGGGGATTGTACTGGAAAGGATGCCCCGAAGCTTGCACTGGTGGGGCCTGACGGAGAAGGGGCAGAGAAGGGACTTTGCACGCTTGGAGGTTCCCTAACCTGTCGATATTTCGTAAACCCTGGACGTGCAGAGATGCATCCGACCATTGCGATGACTGCAGCTCAGGCACGAGATGTAGTTGGAAACCGCACTGATGATTCTGATTTGGCAAAACATAAGAATGATAACAATTATATATATATATATATACAAAGCAAGATTGCAATTTGCAACAATAAGTTTCTCTCAACAGAAGGATCTACGAGATGGGATGTCCGAGCCATGTCCAAAGCAGAAATATTTATGCTTTTGGGGTTGTCCAGCTCATTGTTCGTGGATGTTCATGGTATTCCTCGCCCAGGCGCTTGGTGCAGCCTGCCTCCTTCAGGGCTCCGTGGCCAGAAATGCTTTGGGGAGCGGAGTGCAGGGCTTTGAGCCACAGCCCGATGATGCAGAGACCTTCTCCTTTGCAGTGAAGCATCCTCAGGGAAGCTTCCCTGTCAGCATTGGCATAGGCCCAGGGGACGAACTTTTCCCCATTGGAATACCTTTTTCTGGAAGATACCAGACAACGGTAATGCCGATTGCCGAAGGAACAGCCTTCATCGAGAGAATTCCATGACGGTCGCGTTGTCAAGAAAGAGTTGAGAGTTTGGTCTTGCAAGGTTGCGGTCAACTATTGAGTCTACTGTAACTGGCTTATGTACGGGTTTAATTGTATTTGATCAAACACTGCACAGAGCAATATGAGTTTCGACACGCTGGCTACCCTGGTATCCTGATAGCCTTCACAGTTTTGGGTGTTTTAGCAGAGCTGGTCGCATGGGCTCACATTCTCAGCAACAGTGGTCAGTAAGTGTACCTGTGTCCCGCCATTCGACCAATCTACCAGGATATGTTGGGAAACTAGTTCTTTCTACTGTCGCGCTTCAATGCTGATTCTTACAGCTTTTGGCCCATTGGCATTGGGGAGTGTTGAACCAACCTGCCCATGAAAAGGAGGCGGCTTAGTGTACTGTTCTTGTGGTAACCTTCAGACAGGTTTCCAAAAGTTTCTAGGTTTCACTCCCTTGATGTTCCTGTGCCTTTGTGCTAAATCTCCACGATGGCGGATTGTTAGAACCATAGAAAATCGCTTTCAGAATCGTGGTGTTTTGCATTGTGCCCTGACCCAAGGTCACGACAGCAGGCAAACAAAAGCAAACTGAATGTGGGGACTGGTGTCAGGAGCCTTCACGGAGCCACGACATTGTAAGAAGCGGCAGAACTGAAGGGGCGATTTCTCCAGCTGATATGTTCACGGCATTCCAGCTTGTACCGTTTCTTTTCAACTCGACCGGACACCTCTTCACTCCACAGGAACACGCCAGAAGACTTGCCTGCACGACCACCTTGCTAAAGAAGCGTTTGGCCGCAGGAGGATGGGAAGTGGACCTTTCGCGAGATCCTCACTGTGGAGGCCCGCCATTCCTAATGCTTGAGTTTGGTTCAATATGGTTCAAGTGGTCATCGATCGAGAAACCAAAGCATCAAGAGAGTTCGAGCGACGGTGAGCGCCATATGTCAGGTCTACCCAGACGAGGAGGTTTGCATTTCTATTTGCTGTCGCTTGATCTGCAGATCTGAATTGCCGTTCTAAGTCTGACTGGTAATCATTCCGCTGCTCCTTGTGACGAGGTAGTCAGCAAGTTGACCTCTTAGTAGCTGCACTCTCCTTGGCATCAAAATGTGCTCGGGACCACAGGAACTGGCAGATCGTAAAGTCTACAGGAATTCATGTCGGTGTTGCTGACTTGGCTGACTAGAAGCAAAATTGGCACCCGCATCATAAACATCCAATGGGAAACAGCGAATAAGATGAATAAGTCTAAAAGAGAAAAGCTCAAACAAACCATTATCAATTATCAATTATGTTTGTTCTGGGTTTGTTTCCTGTTTTTCATACTTTTTTCATAGCACAAATCTGCACAGCGTGTGGCTGAGGTCGGCGAAGTGTGTGTTCCAGTTGCTTCTGTGCGGAACACCTGGTGGTTTCAGGTCTGAAGCGTGTGCTGGACGCAGGAAAGCTCACGCTATTCATGTAGTTCCTAGATGCTTTTCCAACGTTGCACCCCTTTTCTGGATGAGTTTTCGTGTAGGTGTCGATAAAAATTGTCAGCCTGCCAACATCATCACATTTAATGTGCAAAGTTTTTGGGGGTTTAAATTCGATCGTTTTGTGATGTCTTGTGAAGGGCTAGACTCGCTCGACTGTAGTGCCAGAGCGACATTCCAAGGTCTTGCCTCAGCTGGTGATGGTGAAGCCCCCAGAGTCCAGCCGAAATGAATGCCAATGGCCAAGGGAAGAATGATGGTGAAGTGGCTTTTGAAGTTGCACTGAGGAGGACCGTGATCTGGAAGGTGTGGTATATGTGGTCAGTGGCATGTTTGGGTGTTCATCAAACAATTTGTGGACGGTGGGGGAAGTAATGCACACAATCAAGGATCATGAAACTGATTGCGTTGCTTGCACTTCTCGACCAGATGTTGCCAGGCCACTCCACAGATCGGCTTCGACCTCCTTAAAGACGGTGTGAAGACAGGCTGGGTCCTTGTACATGTGTGCCATCAATATCGATCAATCAGTTCCAAGGAATCACAGATTACATAGATTCCATGACACTACGCTGACTGTTTGAGCTGCTGTGCGTTTCACGGGAGTTTGTTCAGCTGGTTTCGTGACCATGTGGCAATATGTGGCAATGTGGCATTGATCCATGTGTGCTGGCAGCTTTGCATCAAGGCCGCTGCTACATGTCCTTCGAGACGAAACACCCGCCACCACGGGTAGCCATCAGCGAGACCTGGCCATTTGGCAGATTTAGCATGATTTGTTCGTTTTTTGGCAGATTTTGTGCTGCAGGCTGGTCACAGCCTTGAACATGGTTTATTTATGCTCGGTAAATCCGGTTTGCATTGATCTCGTGACAGCCCAGGTGTGCTTTCAGCAATTAGCAGCTTTGCTGCAATGCATGGCTCACCCTAAGCAGACTAGCCAAGACTCTCGTGCAGCAAATGTTCATAGATGTGTTGTTTTACGTGGCAGTTTGCTTGCACCCTTCCATGAGCGGAGGAGTTAGCGATCTCAAGCGTTAAAGTTAAAGTGGCGATCAGGCCTATTCTTGCTATGAGACGTTGAACTTGTCCTTCCTCCTTTAGTTTTGCACAGATCCAATAACAGTTGTTCCCATCTTCAAACAGCACGTGTTTTGCCGAGACAATGACACACGCGTTGTTGAGATGTAGGGTTAGGTCACATCCACAAGGGTTTTCCAAGTCCAAGTGTCGAGCTGTCAAAGCGAACGAGTCCTGCCTTTGCGCTATGTCGCTATGTCTTTGAAAGTCAGACTGTACCATTTGATACCATTTGTATGCTGGAGCTCGAGGTAGTGAATGGGTCAAAAGACTGTCAGGTAGTTGATGATGTTGATGCGGGTTCAGGTGTTGTTTTCATTTTGTTGGCTTTGCTCTCACTCGCAGCAAGCATCATTCGTTGATTGAAGTTTCAGGGCTGCCAGACAATGAGATTGTGCTTAAAGCTTCACTGTTCCATCAGCTCATGTTGTGTAGCGAACCACGAAGCATGACGCTGTGGACTGCAGCACCCATGGTCAGATGTTCTCAACATGTCTTAACCAGCAAGCCAAGCAAGTAACACTAACACAGAACGATGTCCAGCAGTCTGACTGACTTGACTTATACAGAGATTCCTTGGGTGTCCAAGTGTCCTTCCACGAAGCCACATCAAGCATCAGCTTTAGAACCCGTCGCCACAGCCCGAGTCTGTCGGGATTGTCATTGCCCATGCGGCGCAAAGCATTGCGTAAACAGTGCCATGGGAAGCGTGATCTCATCAAAGCTTCCACCGGTTGGAGACAAAGACCTGAGGACGGGACCTTCTGGTGGCCAGGAGGCCATGGCTATTAGGTTGGAGGCCATCGCTATTAATTAGGGAGGCCATTGCTTCTAGATTGGAATGATTCTGTAGTATTCTTTTCACAATTTTCGTATGCCACCGGATTCCTTGATTCTTGGGGGTAGGCCGTGAGGAGAGCCCGGGAGTAAAGCTTGAGTAGTACAGTAAGTGACATTAAGTGACGAAGTAGTAGCAAGGAAGCTACCAAGCGGGCGCAAAAGGTCTCAGGCCTTCATTGAAGAAGCATGATCCATCTTAAGTCTTAAGTTAAGCCTTAATGATTATTTGGTTCCTAGTTTTTTGAGAAACTCAGAATGTTGGAGTCCAGCGCTTTATGTCCAGACATTTGAAGAGGACTGTCTTATCCTACAACCTCAACGAAAGCCACATCCGAGCTGCGTACAAGCTCTTCACAGAGGCTCCAAGTCCTCAACTTACAGCAACTCTAGAAGGGACGGGAAACAAGAAACGTACGGAGAAAGACTTGTCTTCACATGCTGGGCATGGGTATGTGACACAAGTGACTAGATGTCTATTATATATATTATATATATAGACAGAGAGAGAGAGAGAGAAATTTACAGACGGTCTACGATTCTTCACAATCGCTCCGCCAATCAAGGTGCCAAGTCTTGCACCCTTATCGTGACACCCATGCCAGAGCATTTTGTTCTCTGACAGACTTGTATCACTGTATCCACCTCCTACATGCGACGGTTGAGGCATCCTGTATGCCGTATGCCAAATGCATCCCAATATATCCGAACGCTTTCTTGCGACAGGTTGACGTGGACTCCAACGGAGTTTGGACTGTCAGTGAGATGTACCGAGTTCTGAAGGCGAAAACATCACATTCGCATGTTGTTGGTGTCCTTGGATGAGCAATTAATTCATGGGGGTTCCGGGTTGCCATTGTTAATTAATTGCCATGTTCCCAAACAGTTCCCTGTGTCTAGGACGTAGTTGAGCAGCCGACAGTTCTTGGAGTCGACTTTTTGGCTTCAGGAGCCTAGACTATCTGTTCGAGCTCCAGTCATTGATACCATTTTCTTCATGGGCAGCACACTCGGTCCCATTTTGTCCACGCATGTTCAACGCTTTTGTTTCGATTGTGTATGCAAGAAGCAGCTTTGCACACCTAGGCGACAGCAATAGTGAAGGCAGCATGACCTTCCAGGAGAAATGTGTGAGCATTCATTTAGGTCCGCACAAGTATGTACTGCGTTATATTATTGCATAAATATATATATATATGTATGTTTTACTCATTTATACACGCACGTATTCTATATTATGATAGTTTGTAGGCTTTGCACAAGAGTTGATTTTCCTTTTGCAGCATACCGCCTGGCCTTCTAGCATACTGCACCGCAGACAAAGAAGTGTTGTTCCTTGCTTTGATTGGAGGACATGTAAGGTATGTATGACGGGGCGTTGGTGCACCTTGATTTCGTTTGCAGAGTTCCATTTTGCGACAAATTGATAGACTTTGCAGTCTAGTGAAGGACTTCTTGGTGACAATGAGTTCATTTTGCGCACTCTCCAAAGAAGAGGCTGCACAGTATTCCAAAACCATGACTATGTGTGCATCATGTTGCATCTGTGTGTTAACATACATGACATTTGAGAGAGAAGAGCTGATGTGAAAGAGGTGGGGCTGCACTGACGGATTCGATCTGACAATGCTTGTTTAGGTTGCACTCACCACGACCTAGGACCTAGCTTCTGAACAGAATTCTTATCCCTTGGCGAGCAAACCATTCTGTTCATCCCTGATGCAATGGATCCATCTCCAAAGACGGCCGCAAAAAAGATAACTGCAATGCCAGGAGCCCCTAGTAGCGTCCTTGTTCCTAGTAGTGAGGCCAGGAGCCCCTAGTAGCGTCCTTGCTCCTAGTAGCGATGCCCTTTGTTACTACTAGCGTCCGTGTGTTTTGCCTTTCGAGATGCTGCAATTTCTCTTCATGATCATTGACATCGACCGAAATGGTGCGCTGAGAGAACAAACATATGAGCTTCTGATGTGAACTCTATGGTGGTTGTCAGTTCTTGGTGTGCTGCTTGCAGAATCACCATGAATCAACAATAGTCACAGGTACTATTGAGAAAGAAGAGCTGTTGAACTTCTTCTCATACATACCTGCTGGTGCTGATGACGGTCAAGGGCCTGGAAGATCAATGATTCCGCTTCCCTGACTCGTGAGCTTAGCCATTTTCGCTTACGATGAGGTCGAGGTGAGCCAGTCTTCCCGGTGAACAACAAAAATGCACTTGAGTCTTGGAAGGCATTGAAATTATAGTGAACAGCCAAGCCATTCGATGCAAACGAGTCATGCCACAGGTCTGCACACAGTCTGCAGAAGTTGATCACAGAGAAAAGTTACTCTCACTGGACTACTTGCACAAGTTACACTTCACAGGTTACACGTCTAGCAAAGCCACTGGTGGTTTGACCCTTTCTGAGAGATGATGAGACGGTTCGTACGACCGCTTCAACCATCAAAATGGTTTTCGTAACGTAAAGTGACGTAATAATAGAGAGTTGTCATGTGGAACGCTTGCCTGGAGGTTAGGATTAGCATGTAGATCTTAAAGCAGACAAGGACGGAAAAGGTGCCGTATGATCGTTGCGGGCTCATCCTCAGATTTGTAATGATTGTAATGAGATTACTGTTTGGGGCCGAATTGTTTGAGGTGGGTGATGAAATTTGTGCGTACACTTACTAGAGTGATTTTATAGATATAGTAACTGGTGTTCCTGGAAGGAAGCTGCAAAAGGAAGCGGGGGTTGATATGGGTTCATGACATTCATCCGATTCATGTTTGTGCCTACGGGTGTAAAACCGAACGTGTGACTACTGCGATTTTGAAGTTGATGCTACGTGAAAGGTGGGGGGGTTGGGGTGGGGTGGGATGGGGCATATTGACGTTCGTTTGCACTTGCTATCTGAAGTTTTAAAGGTGGGGGGGTTGGGTTGGGGTGGGATGAGAACATTGTCATCGTCTTCACGACAAGTAATCTTCGGTTTCATAGCATTGTCATCGGTTTCAC